AAGCAAGTCAGCAAAATGTGATCTGGAACACAGGGTTGACGAGAAAGCGCAGGAATAGCACAGGTCTCGCATTATTTGTGTTCAGAAGTCAGAAGGTCTTCTCCTGTTTGCAAGCGCCTCATGGTAGCTGACAGGTTCAGCATCAGCCACAAAGCAAGTCACAATCATAGATCAGGAAGCGGCTTTGGTAGCATTCAGTCTCGCCTGTGTATCTATTTCTATTCTTTCCCGGAAATAAGTTGAGTTGCCAAACAATCCGCAAGGTGACACAAAGATTGAGGGATGAGGGAGGGAGGGAGGGAGGTAGCACGGTCCTACCAAGGCAGTGACGCAAAAGGCTCATCTTTGTTGTGATTTCGGCCTCGGCTAGCCAAAATTGTACAAGCACAGATGCACATGACAGTGGTTACCATGCCTGAGCTACAAGCACAGCGAGAACGCATGGCTTGCCATGACAAAGTTCCTGCATAAACGCTGCTGAAGGTGTACTTCGAATGCATCACAGAATCCGAGTGCGGCATTCATTGACACTCTTTGCACAAATACTATTCTACAATCTCAACATGATTGCACTGAGGTTGCTACCAGCGAGGCCTGAAAGGACGCATTCACAAATCACCGTCCGTACGCATCCCAATCCTATCAACAACAGTGGAGACCATCGTCAGCGGCGTATTCTTCGCAGTTGACAACCGCACTTCCACCTATCAGGGGACGGCTCAAACAGGACTTGGCTCCCCAAGCTGCAAAAGGGTCTTTCGCCCTGAATTGCTATGAAACTGCGGCGCTGAAGGAGGTAGCCGCTCCAGAATGCCAGCGCAGATTAGCAACACGCGCTTAAGCAACATCTTTGATTGGCCTCCGGTGCTTTGGTACCTGGCCAGTCTGGAACAAAAAACGGATGAAAACATTTGAGAAAGCTACATCACGTTTGTCTGACTTGGATTGCAAATTTGCCCTATCACTGCTCCACGGCTGATTTCTGCACCTTCCGCTCAGCACCATTAGCGAATCCAAGCTTCAAGGTCGCTTACCGCACCGCAGCCGTGTCCGCCAACTGCTTCTGATGAAAACCCAGCGGACCTTCCCGGAAAGGGTCGGGCCATTTCGTGTCCACCTCACAGAGCAGCATGCTTGGTATAGCATTTGCCTCCACGTGACATAGCCTTAACAAGTTGGAAGACTGGTGCCCTGTTCGAGGGCGGATGACTAACTGCGCATCCGACCATCCTGCCTGGCAAAAAATATCGCCATTCATGAGGGTCACGATGAAATTGTCTTCCTGCCAGGGAGTTTTCATAGCAGGTCACAACCTCGAAGGCATCTTTGAGTCGTAACTGCTGGCTACCGGTGCTACAGGCATCTTTAAGAGAATGTTATTCTATAGCCTCAAGCAACGCTGTTTCGGTCGCCCTTTCACTTCCAGCCTTTGAGTCAAAGGGCAGCTGCAGAAGGAGTCGCTCCTCTTTCTTCACCACGAGCTGCGCAGGTGGTGCAGAAGGATATCATAAAGGCAACAAACCACTTCAAAGCAAGAATAATGTGGGGCATTCCGTGAAGTACGGTGAGGCAGTAAGCAGTTCTTTGCTAAGAGCGCCTGTGGCGTAAGCGGTGTCAGCAGTTCATCCTTGTCCTGCGAATAGCACACTGGCACAACATCAAGTGGAACCAGGAACCTGCAATAAGAACAATAACAATAGGAGTCATAAATATATCTGTATTTCCAACAGAAATGCTGATAACAATCATAGTACGAATAGTACTAGTGGCAAAGAAGGACTAACTCCGGCGACCGTATACGAGCCTGGGCTTACTTCAGTATGACGTCACAATTTCATTTTCCAGATGCGGAATGACATGCGCTAGAGTCTAAAACTCCTAGTATCCCCTTCTATAAGCCCTCTAATCCTTCCCTAAAAATTCCCCTCTATAACCCCCTTTATATAATCCCCTATATAACCCCCTTAAGGATTTGAGATTGCAGTACATATGCACGGCGTCCTCCCGGAAAAAGCCAAAGGCCTTGGTTGGCACCCTGCATTCACTTCAAGCTCACGGAGAGGAAGTCAAACAGCTTGTCGTGCAGCCCTAAACCCTCGGGTTTAGGCTTTAGGGTTTAGGGTTTAGGCTTGCCATGATCATCTGGACTATACTGGAAAATAAAATGGAACTACTACAGGGTGAAGGGTTGAGAGTTTAGCCCTTCACATGCACACTGCATGCGAAGACTTCGCAAATTGACTGGCGATCCCTTACCAAGCTCCCCGCACACAGCATTGAGCCAATAGCCCCGACCAGAACCTAACAGATGACATCGCAAGGAAACCCACAAGCATCTCCATCTGCAAAAGAGCACTTGCAAAACGTTCACTGAATCGAGCATGGCTTGGAAAGCACACTTTCATCTGCGATTGAAGACTCCCCTTGCGTGTCACAAACCCAGTTGCTTGCCCTTCGCCGAGTCACTATCAGGAGGATTGTCAGATGCATCTGATCAACGTAGCATGCCTGTGCACAAAGATCGGCAACTGACACCTCATGCGTCGGAATGTGTGGAAGACAGTTCCAACTCCCTTGCAGATGCGAAGTACCCCACTCGATCCCACTCCGACTCTGCAAGAAGGGACGGCTTGACTGACTGATGTAAAGAGGCGGAGCACCTCTCCAGGTGCACAAAGTTGGGAGGCAGTCTGCAGCAGCCATGCTCCACGCATGTTCCAGGAGCCCTGCCACCAGCAATCTGCAGAAGTTCTTGATGCTGTGTGGGGGTGTGCAAATATTCTGGGGTCCCTGTTGTAGCTGCGGCCTGGGGTCTCTCGACGTCCAGGCTCGCCATCGCGCCCAAGGCATCCTGCCGCTGGCCCAAGCCATAAAGGTAGTGGCACAACTCATTTTACTGATAAGTATCTCAGTCGCATCTGCAGAAGCAAGACAAGCAGAATGCTCCTTGAGCATGCCCTCGAGGGGGCCTGCAAAGCAGATTTGCAAAACACTTGGGAGGTGGAATCCATGTCTTGAGTGGGCATGCGTGGGCAGTTTTGTCAGACCGTTCCAACGTCGCGTGCGTTTCAGAGCTAGCCCAATCTGTGATTTTCTGTCATCCTGAACGCAGAGCCAATCTGGACAGACACTCCGCTCTCTTCCTCAACCCGTCTCTGCTGCAACTAGAATTTGTATCCCTTCCGGCCTGCCCCCCAAAAAGGGGCTCGAATAGGTTCAGTTACCAGACTTTGAGCCAAGAGCCAAAAAAAAAACTCTTTAGTTGGCCCTCCTTTTTATGCGCAATGGAATGGGTCGAAGCCCTCATGAGTCGAGGCAAGCCCATCACATGCTTCCATCAGTCGGTGCCCTTGCACCATAGTTTGGTCAGACGGGAGGGGCTTACCGAACAACTAGAGCAATTGAACAGATGCGGAACTCTCTCGCTATTCGCTCCGAAAAGCACGCACGACAGCTAGACCAGAAATCTTGTCTCCGCTCGCGAGGTCCAGTGCCAGCAATAGTTGCTGCAGCGTCTCCGAGTCCAAAGTTCATCGTGAGATCTGTTCTACTGCCCCTCTTACATGAAAACAGGAGCGAAGAAATTCAAGGACAACGTCCCAACTCAACTAACTACTCACTTGGATGTTTTCTGACGCTTGGCTGTACCAGAAGAAGCAGCTCCAGGCGACTTCCTGGCTTGGCAAAGCTGGGATGCACAAAGGCCGGTCGGGTGGCGTGGTTTGAGCTAGAGGTGCTTGGGTGCACTCCATTCTGGCACAAACAGAGCTGCCACGAGTCTGCCCCAATCTGGCCACAACCACTTTAAGTAGCAGAATTCTCAAGAACAAGGATAACGGTCTTCAAGTGGATTTCCAAATGTGCTGTAAGCTCTCCAACACATCCAACAACTTGCACCATCGGCCCCGGCATGCATTTACATTGCCTGGCTGGTATTCTATAACTCATATGACGATAAACCCTAAACATGAATGTAAAAAACATAGTACACTAAACTCTCCCTAAAACCTTGTGCAGGGAACCATATCAAACCCTGAACCCTTGAAATAGGGGACCCATAGTGTTGTGAGTTTGGACACCCATTGACTGGCTGTCCTTTTGGAGCCTACCTCGCCACCTGCAGGGTACATGTTCTCGAATTCCTGTTCAGGGTGCGGTTTGGAGTTTAGGGTTACATTGGGATAATGGAAAAACATGAAAGCTACTATATCATGCGGGATGAGGGTAGCAATTGGGGCTATATACACACACATATATGTGTGTGTATGTATGTATTCATTAAATTATATATATATATATACATGTATATGGAATTACTCTGGAATAGCCAGCGGCGTGTACTTCCAGCAGGCCAAGAAAAGCCTTCACGTTGAACTTCCTTTTGCAGCCGTCGTAGTTCCTTGTGCAATAACTCATGTGCTCCAGAGGCCATGCGAAAGCAAGATGCTGGCAAGCCGCATATAGCGGATCTTCCCAAAGACCTTCCGCTCTGGCCAACCCATGTCATGCCTCAAGCAGCATCGCGCTGACGTGCAGAATCGCAGCGTGGTCTCAGGTACGGCTCTCTCGGTGACGCTGTTTGTGAAGTTAGCATCCGAATTGTCCTGCCAGAGTCATCCTTGTTCTTGCTCCAGGCCCGCGGCACTCCACAGATTGACCACATACAGCCGACGTATCCATTCGGCTCTCGCCTCACGTCGCGGAACCGCAACTTGTGTTAAATGTTGGTTCCATGTCCATGTGTGAGACTCTGGCGCTGGCTCAAGCAAGTGCTTGCTTTAGCAAACCATCCAAGCACCGCTTTCTTGAATTTCATGGTAGCCGGGAATTGCCGAGGGATTTGGTGTGGAGGTTTGTGCGAATCTGCCACGCTTGTGAAAGCTTCCATAATGTGGGAACCAATTATAGCATATGCGCGCTCGGGTACAAAGTTTTCTGGCCAGGTAAGTCCACGGCTGAATAAACGAACAAAGCAATAATGCGAGAACTCATGATGGAACAGGCCTCAGAACCCAGCACGCTGCTTCAGATTTGCGGAAAGCTGAGCCACGGACCCATCAAGGTTGTACCGGTCATTCAGGTAGATGGCCGTCGCCAGGGCTGTCGCTGCGTCTTTGCTCCACTCCAGGACCTGCACAGATGGACAGAACACCCTCCACTCAAGCCGGACTAACCTTGTGAAGAAGGCAGACTTCATGGGTTTAGGCTATTCATTTGCCTCCACATGCGTGCTTGCTGGAATCAAAACAAGCAGCAGCAGCAAGCTTCACTGATCTGCTGCCTTCTTCGCCCAGTACATGCGCAGGAAACCATGCATCTTGCCTGAAGTGGCTGATGGCAGGTCACCATTCGGAGCAATGAAAGGATTCTGATTGGCCTTCCATGCCCTCTGATTGCTTCATTCACTTCAGCGAAGTAATTCCGTGGGGAACAAACTTGCTTCCATGTCTGTATCACATGATATTGTAGTTTCAGTCTACCTGCGGCTCCACCAGGGAGCTTCCCAAAATTAGGGGAGAATAGTAAATGAGGTGTAGATTGGGGTCCCCGATTTTGGGAAGCTTCCACGCTGAATGACAACATTGACTGTCAATCTCTCGTCCATAATGTTGGGAACAGCATGTCACCATTTGTCTCCCTGAAATGTCCTCAACGCAAATCTGACGGTGCCCAAAAATGAGATAACTGGTACTAGTACAGCGTGAGCGAAGTTGCATGACAATTTTGTACCCGCACTGAAACAGACCGCACGACCGCAGCTGAGCTTGAAACCTTCAGAAACCATCTGGCGCTGAGCCCTGGGCAATCAGGCTGTGGATCATTCTGACCGGTCTAACAACGAGTCTTACACATGCATACTGCTATTGCTGCACGAGAACAATTGCAGCAAGAACTGAGATAAACCATCAATTGGAAATCCTTGTGGCACCACCAATGCCAAGAACGCCGCGCGTTCCAAAGCTCATCATGAGTTTTGGCCTGCATGCACCGAAGTATGTGCAAAAGCTGGTGCAGTCCAGATAGTACGATTCCAGTTTACAGACCCTGCGGGCGCCGTTGACTTTCGAAAGTTACCGACAAGGCACTCTGAGCCTCCTGTCGAGCCAGCACACAATCCGTCATGATGCATGCTTGGCAGTGGGACTGTAACTGTACTCTTGCACTGGAAGGAGGGATTTGCCATTTCATATGTTGGCTTCCAAGTCTGCCACATTCAATCTAGAATGAATTCCTAACATGCAGTCCTGCCTGCTCCAGCTGTGCTCTGCTGTAAACATACTCCCTCTTGTCCTGCAAGAAGCTCATGTTTTGCTCGGCTACGGGCAGGAAACTGTTAGTTGCCCAGCGAGATCCCCCAAAGAACGCCAAGATCTCCACACCCCTACAAAATTGGCTCGAAGGGAGCACTGATGGTGAAGCACTGCGGCACGCCAAGACCGGAAAGCTGGGCTGGCGCTGTTGAGTTGACAGCTCGACATCTCTCAACAAGTCAAACTTGACAAACGCAAGGTGTTTAGTTTTCTCACTCGAATTTGTTGGATTTCTTTGTGCCCTGTTATTCCAAAAGCGCGCGATGGCGTACGCCTCCCGGGATGCTGTGTCTTTGCAGATCTGCGAAACGCTATGAGCGATTTCATGTGTGACGGCAGATGGAAATGGGGAACAAAGAAAACTGATGAATGCGTCAGCTGGGTAGTGCTGTGTGCGGATTTCACTGCTAACTTTGGTTTGTTCACAAGTTTTATTAACAACCAAATGTCCCTTGGCATTGCACTCCGTCGTTTCAGGGACTTTTTCTCGCAGTCTGCACACGGCATGGAATCGCTGCTGACGTAGTCTCCGGATTGCGTCACGCAAAGACCCTGGGTTTCCATAGTTTAGGCTGTGTTTCAGTTGCACATAAATGTAAGCACCCCTTTACTATTTTGAGCTGGTGTCTTGGCATATCCCAACAGATGCACTCTTTGAAAAGCAAAACTAGGACCGACCCCTTCTCCTGTGTAGCGCCAGCATGGGCGGACCTTGTGACCAGCAGATCAGATTGAATTCGGAATTCTTCTAGTGTTGGCAATTCGCCAAAGTTCAGAGACAACTTCCGGCGGCTCGCGAGGCCAAGGAACCGTGGGTGAAAAGGAAGGCGTTTGCTCGCATGGACACAGGATCCAACCTCCCACCCCTACGTGGCAGGGAAGCTCTGTGCCAGGGCCTCGCTTGGGGCACGAACTTGGAGGCAAAGGCCGCGCAAGAGGTCATCCAAGCCATGGAACGTGTGCCCATCTGTATCGTTGCGGACCTGTTCTCGCCGGTACTTGCAGGGCGTGCCGGTGCCCAGCACGAACTTGGCGGCCGCGTCGGCACAGAAGATTCGGGCCAGTTACGTGCACACGTCTGGGTGTTGGCGCTCCAGCCCCATGGCTGAGTAAAGGTGGAAGCGCTCCGTCTCTGCATCATCTAGGACACAGCATGTTGGTCTGTCGGATATACATTGGGGCTTCCACATGCAATTGCTGGTCGACGACGACCTCCTGTTTCTTATGGTGGGTTGTATCAGGCAGGCACCGGCCCTCGGAGGTCCTGTCGGGGATGGCTTTAAGGTCCCAATGCGCATAGACCCCCAGCAGGCAGTATCGAAGCCGCTTCTCTTGATTCCACAATGGATTTCGGTGGAGCCCAAACAAAGACAACTTTCGACCCGCAAAAAAGATGCCCACCTTGTTCAACATCTACTCCCTGAGCCGCAAATCGGCCCCGCCTTGTCCCCCAAAGCTCACCAAAATCCGCGCTACACGAACAAGTAAAATTTAGCTGCTCGCCTGTACGTCAAATCCTGACCTTCAGTCCCCAGGAGGAACCACGCTTAATCAAACCATGGAAAAAAGGGTTTGGGGTATTGGGCAGGGCTTATTTGCGCTAAGTGTGGTACAGGCAGGAGCTCAAAGCACAGCTGTTGAACAGCGTGGGCACCATTTTTGTAGGTCCAAGGTTTCTATGTTTGGGCTCCACCAATGTTTACCTGGAATCGAGAGAACTGGGTCCAATCTGGACTGTTGGCAGGTTTACGCGGACTCCCTTCCCAGAGCTATGGAGCTACGAAGGCAAGTGCCTCGGCATCGATCCAGCTGACGCGTGGAGGCTACTAGTTACTAATTACTGCTAAAGCAAGACTAAACTTACGCACAACGGAAGGGGTTCTCCGGAAGATCCATGCGGGCTTTATGTTATGCAGTGTGCAAGGTACAGAAACTACTGCGTTTTGCAGTGTATTTTGCTTGATTGAACGGGTTGAGGTGTTAAAGGAACGGAGGGTGATGACTACGCAGAATTTTCTCATAAATTTCCGCACGCAACCGTGCTTGAAGATCAGAATGTTGCACGTTTTAGGAGTCAACATGTGCAAATACGTACGGTTTTCGCACACTGCAGATGAGAAGCGTTTTGTCGCACACTCAGAAAGTGCGAAGGTGCGTGGCAAGATTTAAACCTTGTTCAAAAGTACTGCGTTTCACAGGTCGAAAAGGGTGTGGCAAACGGAACACAGCGGTGATAGTCAGGCTTTTTTCCGTGTTCGCGCGATCAGAAGCTGTATATGACTTGCATTTTGTCCCACTACGCGCGGTGTTTTTTGCATCAGGGCTCCTGAAAAGGACATAGACTTCGTCCCACTGAGCGCAGTGTTTCTGGTGCTTGGAAGCACTTGAAATACGAACGCTGTTCTGGCTTTGGCATAGATTTTCTGGTAGTGGGATGCTCTCGAACATGAAAGTTATTCTAGTTTGGGCATGGATGTTCTGGTAATGGCATAATCTCGAACATGAACGTCATTATTGCTTGGGCATGGATGCTTTGGTAATCGGACGCTCTCAAACATGAATGGGTTGGTTTTTGCATGAGGGTTCCCGAAATACTGCGTTTTACAGGTTAAGATGGCTGCAGCTGAAGGGACTGTAATTATCCCCCTCCTAACCCGCCCCCCCAAACTTCCAAGCCGAGCCAAACTTGACGCGGTCGATGAGACCTGGGCCGTAGGGGAACCCTAGGCATTGGGCGTAAACTCAAGCCTAGCTCTGCTAGCTTTCGTGATCTTGTTGCTATTCATACAGTACTGTCATATCTACCTCCATCCTTCTTGCCCTGATTCTTTTGCTATGCTTACCCTGCAATTCAGTAGCATACTTAACAACCAACATATATTTACATATACGATATACACCTGATTTACTATCCTTGCTATCAAACATTGCGATTGCGCGAAGGTTCCCAGGCTGAGCCTCACGTGCCTGTCACATGAAAGCATTCTGGTCCCTTTGCTCAGGGTCTAGAATTCTGAGATGCCCCTGGCCCGAAATAAGGATCCGTGATTTTGAAACATCCTGAACTTGACACCTGACACCGAAGTGGGCTACGTGATCTCACGATTGCCTCTTATTGGCACCAGCTATACTACGGCACCTAGTATTTGGGGAGTTCAGAGTTCAAAATCTTCCCTCGTTTTGGGAGGTGCCCAGGTGGCTCCTTGGAATGCTTCTTCAGAGTCTCCACCTGGCAGATCTGGCAATATTTCCCCACAGGTTTATTACTACTTTTGTGGGCTATTACATTTGTGGACTCTTAGCAACACGAGACCCGCGTGTCACGCTCCACAGCTCCGACAACAAAAAATCTGCTTGCCATGCTACGCTTGCTTCGAATTATGAACAGAGAATTGTCACTAAAGATGTTTCGATTGTGATGATGCTGCTGCCGCCGCTGCCGCAACCGCCAACCGTCCTGCAGTACTGTTACAACATTAAAATCCACTCCAGCATTGCTTCGTGACTGCCCTTGCTTTCGTTGGTGCATGAGCTCTTGCTTCTCGACCTGCCTGTCGCACGTCAGTCACGAGTGCTGCCCCAACTCCCCACTGGAACCCTGTTGAGTTGGATTGTTGACCGAACAGCTTTCAGGCATTGTCTCATTGTCTTCTCCGAAAAAGTTTAGACTAAACTGTAGCTTTGACACAGCTGATCTGAAGACATTGAAACACAGCCGGCACCGCAGCCCACGCCGAGGCACCCTGCACGGCGGTCAGACTGGGTTGGCCAACGGTCATGTTGTTGCCAAATCCTTGTTTCTGAACACTTTTTCATAGGTTGAAGAGGGCCCCTCGCCCATTGACTCTCAATGTTCTAACTACTGAAGTGGAGGCCGCTACACCTATGCTTTCATCACCTGGCGGACATCTTCTACCTCATCAGAACTCAGAACGGATTGAGTGTGAGGCATACATGCTGCAAGCTGCTAGAAACTAGAAAAACTCCACAGCTTTCTGAGTACAAGTTCCGTCTCAGGGACGCTGCTTGCGGGCATCTACACCCCTTGCCTTGAGCGAGTCATAGTTCTGGTTGTACCAGCAGAAGTTGTCGGAGAGCTCTCTCCGCACGATAGACTGGCAGCAGGATCCCAGCGCATCATCTACTTTGTGCATCACCGTCGCGTGAATTTGCCTGCCTGTCTGCTACTCTGAATTTTCAGACCTGTCTGAATGCAGGCATCTGGCTGTGACCTCTTCCAGAAAATCAGCCGCAGCTGACTTGGCCGCACCTTTGGCAGCCTCGCCACAGGAAAGATGCAGCAACAGGATAGAAGTAACAAGGGGATGCCTTCTTTACAACCAGGGCGCAGCGCTGCGCCGAAATCTGCCCAAACCTCACCGAGCACTGCGGAGACAGCTTCTTTGCATGTTGAAGTAGTCTCTAGGAAAGTACCTCCAAAGCCGGCTCATACGCATTACAAGCCTTGCTGGGCAGTGCTGAGCCGAGAGCTTGATCCATGGCGATAGCCCGGACAGCGCCTCCGAAGCTCATACAATCCGTATCTATGTACAAAGTCAACCCTGAGCCCTCATCGAACATTCCATGTATGAAATGACCCCGGCGTTAAGATTTGCACCTTTCCGATTGTTCAATGAATGAACTCTTTCAGCATTCCACACGCACCACACCTGCTTCGTGGGGTCGTTGCGCTGCTTCCCAAAGATGGAGAGGCGCTTTCGTACAAACTCCTACTGACAAATGTGATGCACCGAGGACAGGGAGAGAGACCTGACATGGACTTCTTGCGGCGTCCCAATAATGATCTAGTTTGGTGTCCACAGCTTCACATCAAATCAGAACCGTAGAGAAGCCGCAGCTGCAGGAATTTGAGACAGCGACCTTGCTGGCTTGACCCTTTCCCTTCCACTCCTCGAGGCGCCGCTTTCCAGCTGCAGCCCCCGGGGTGAAGAGCTCCTGGACACAAATCAAAACTGACAAGAAAACTACCTCCTTTCAGTATCAGGCAACCTGATGCAAAACGCCTACAACAAACTTACGTATGAGCCGACATATGATCGCTTACCGCCCTTTTGCAGGCCTTGCTCACAGGGCCGACTTTCCGGTCAACCTGCAGTGACTTCAGCGCCACGGCTACGTCCATTCCTGCATTAGAGTCATTAGAGCAAGAGGAAGTGACACAGAAGCACATCTTTTCAAATAGTCCTTGCAGGTGCCTCTTGTGACCGGTTTGCTGTTGTAAGAACTTTTTTGATGTGTCTTCACCCTGGTACGCTTTGAAATGGTAAGCACGCGGGTGGAGAGAGGCCACAAGACTTCGCCTCCTGGCCACACTAAAGTAACAGCAAAAGAGCGTGCAGCTGGCCAAGAGCTTGAAGAGATGTGGACTCAGATTTTTGCTCTTGTATACGCCCAGGCTTTAGCTGTCAGCCTGGCTGCACCTGCCTGGTAGACGGCTGCTTCGCAGCACAAATCTATGACAAGCAGATTTAGAACAAAGAAATAGAGGAGCCTGCACATGAAGAGGGAGTGGCTATGATCAGGGGTATCATACCTAACCCCTATATAACCCCATTATAGTAGATTCCATTTTATTCTCCATTGTCCCAATATAACCCCTATATAACCCCAATATAACCCAATAAACATACCTAAAATCATGACATACCTAGTCACAGGAGAATAAGCTCAGTCACTCCCTGCCGCACACTCAGATGTGGCAGGCACTCTGGCCCCGCCTTCATGCCGTTGCTGGTGGGCTCGTCCCACCCACACAAATTCAGCGATTGCAAAGCAGTGAAGAGGATGTCTGGCATCTCCTAAAATCTAACAGTTAATGCGATGCCAACCCATACTGCAAGTACAACCACTCAGATGAGCTGGGAAGTCCAGCAAGGGCTCCAAAGAGCGACATGCACCCCAAGGAGCCCTGCTAAGGGAAAGGACCTTCAGCCTGCATTGCTCTGCCGGCAAGCGAGGACCGTGGCTCCAGCAATGGTATGGATACCAGGAGCAGCAGTTGCACATGCATGCAGAATAGCTGCAGCACCACATCTGTCACAAAATACATGTTACAAACAAAGCCGCAGCTCAGTTGCGGAGGTCACGCTAAGCAGTCATCATCCGCTCGCAGGATCATTCGCTGCTTCGACCTGAGAAGCTGCTTTGACGTTGCGCACCCTCCACACATGACGCCAGACCGCAGCAGAAAGTTCAAAAAGAAAAAACTCAGACGTTGCACCCTCTTCTTCTTCATGCCACCCTAACCCGGAACCTGAGAAGTTTCCAGTAATGACAGAGGCTTCGCCAAGTGACAGTGCAAAATCCTTTCCAGCATCCAGGTCACCTGGGAAAGCTTGCAGGGGTCGTGGAATTACCATGAAAATCTTTGTGCTCGTCATCAATCTGTAAAGCACCCAGGCGTCTTGAACTAGGTCCCGGGAACCCAGTATGATTACCCCACCTGCATTTCCTCTCTAAGACCCTCTCCCTGGGCCGGTCTCTGCATTTCGTCAGCCAGAATACGGTCTGCATCTTGGCTTTTTTGAGGATTCTCCTCCTGACGCTTTTTTACATCCTAAAGCCTTCTCCGCATTCAGGGCTCTGCATGATCATCTGTCCACCTCGCCTGACTCAAAAACAATACATTTGCCTTCTGAAGGTTTCCATTTTATTGTCCATTATCCCCAATAAACCCCCCATATACCACATCCCAAAGCTATTGGAACGTTCTTGCAACTATTCTTCGGAGACAAGCAAGTTCAGAGCAAGCCCTTTCCGCCTAACAGACTCTGTGTCACACCTGCAACCAAAATGAAGCCTCAAATAAGCACGCTGTATGATATGAATATGCTGTCATTGGGTTTGATCCTTGACTAAACCACATAATCATACAGTAGGCGGAAACATATAATTACATATGATCGTTTTTATTCATATAATATCATTTTTAGAATGTATGTGTAGATCCTTGCAGCTACTGCGTACTCGTCTGGGTAAGACCTGACTTGGCGAGGTGCCACGAGCATCCAGCGCCCAACGCTCCACGGGTCCGCCACCCTCGACAGCACGATCATTACCAGGTGGTCATGTCAGGCTCAAGGTTTCGGATTCAGATTAAATGGACAAAACTGCTAAATTATACTAGGGTATATACAGGGGTTATATAAGGATAATGGAAAAGAAAATGGATTGGTCTCTGGGATGGGTTACATGGGCAAGGATTTGCGTGAATCAGAAAGGTGGCTTACGGGGGGGGTGTCTCCGTCAGAGATTAAATAGGGACGGTTTTGAGAAACTCTCGGAGGGTTTGCCTAATCACTGTCCCAGACAGACCTGTTTTACAACGGTAGCACTATATCAAACTGGTTTAGGACTATCCCAATTTGAAATGTGGGAACTTGTCGGAATTACGCCCGCCTTTCCTGAGGCAGGGTCCTGTCAAAAGACTTGAAACAGACATGTTTTGCGGACGCTTTGGGGATGATTAGTCGCCAGAGACTTTACCGAGACAATTTTGCACCTTCTTCGTGCAAACAGCATGACTGATTGAGGATTCTTTGCAAGTAGCATGCTTTACGGGTTATGTACATGGTTGGGAAGCATGGGGTGCACATGCAACATGTCGGCACACGCATCTACGCGTGGTGCATGAATATATGCATTTGTATGCGTGTGCATGTGTATTTCATTTTCATATTATGCAAAAAGTTATACCCCTTGTATGCAAAAATATTTGTACATGACCGAATGCGGTATCATGCTCTGCAGGTTGTTACAGAGGTTGTAGCGACGCAACGCTTGCCCTGTTAAAAACAACCCTACTTGCCCCACACTGAACTCTATTCTCAGGGGTGCTACACTATTCCTCGATGCAGGACCTACATATGTCGGGTCGTGAAAGTGCCTTCTTCCATGAAGCCATTTGATTGTTTTTTTTTTTTTTTTTTTATCTGATGGGCTGGCATGTAGCATACTTCCTCGCACAGACAAAACCAATCCCAACGCCATACAAAGGAAGCGGCCTCCTTGTAGAGAAGTATCTCACGCTCTGTGGCTGAGACCTTGGTACAGTTCGCTTCGATTGGCACTGACTGCCCTGCCATAAAGTCTTGGAGCCCCTACATTCACTACATAACCCCCATAATTATGGTAGGTTCCATGTCATTTTCCATTATCGCAATATTTCCGCAATGCCCTCCTACAATCTACTGTACACCTCAGGCATGAATGTGTCAAGCAGCTTCCCAGACTCCAGAGCATGTCTGCGTGTCTGTCATAGTCGCATCCAGCTGCGAGAAGTACTTGCCTCAAATTCAGCCAACTGCTGGGACTGCTGCTGGACACTCTCCAAAAATCACTGCAAATCCCGAAAGCAAGACCTCTGCTTTTCTGCCTTCACACAATTTCTCGATGAATGCAAATACAGCTAAGCCACTTTCAAATTTTCCAGAATCCTGGAGGACAAGCTCGAATGTCTCTGCCTGCTGAGGCGACTCCCATGCCGGCCGAGCAAGGAACGGATGCTAGTTTTGATGTCCGCCCACGTAGGGAGCACAAACAGCCCATGTCCATTCAGAGGACTGCAACCCATGGCTGAACATAAAAAAAGGAAAGCCGACAAGGCAACACCCCCGATGTGAGCCTCGTCGGCGTCGCCTTGCCAGCCTGAGACGGGGGGCAGCTGTGCCAAAAGCCTCCTGCCCCTCACCGGCTCAAACTGCAGTTCTACAGCATCGGAGGCAAACTGATGTCTCGAAAATGCGCTAAGCAGGTGAATTTCGCAGGCAAGTCATCATCAGGGATGTGGTTAAACACCAGGCTCCCACTGTACATCACGACCATCCCGTACAGGACATCTGTAGCACATTCCACGAAAACTCGTTATATCCCTGTCTAATCAAATCCCTACATGGACCTTACCTAGGTCTCGCAAAGCAGGCAAAGCTATAAGTTCCTGCAAAGCCCCATGGCAAAGACCCATCTTCTGGCTGGGCAGCGGAAAGCATAGCGCCCAGTGAGGCGCCCGAGCCGCTCTCGGCCCCCCTTCTCGGCGCGCAGTCGCTCCTCGCAGACAGCGTTATGTAAACAGAGTCTCAATGATCAATAACAACGAGCGAAACGTAGCAAAATGAGAGCCAGGAAATTGAGAAGAAAAGCAGACACTGTAGTCTGCAAAGGCAATTCAGCGAAAATGCCACAATGGCTTGTCAGCTGCTCTGGGACACAGAAAACAATCTTCCCAAAAAAATCCACAGCAAAGGATATCTTTCAGAGTCACTGCCACACTGCTTCACTAAGGTCATCACAGATCTTTCGCGGGCTGCCTGTCCAGCAGATTAACTTTGTCAACAAATGAATGAGTCACTGGTCAGACGGTGAGCTTCCTGTCACGAGGTCTCGTGTTGGGTTTTTTTGATGTGTTTTGCAGAAGGTACACTAGCAATCGCTGCGTTCTTTGCACCCTTTGTCATTGCAGAACAAGTCTCACAAAATCTCCCGAATCATCAATTCTAACTGCCAAGACACCGCGGATTCAACGCGTGCGACGTTGTCCGTGCTTCGTTTTGCAGCTGCCTCGAGACAGTGACAATGTCTCCGAATCATCAGTGGACCATCATCAGCTTCCAAAATGATGCGCTTGCCTCCACATCCGCACGCAAGCGTGGATTCTTGTCCATCTCGCTGCTAAAGATGAAGTCCACAAACCTGGTCGTGATGCTGTGCAAGTGCAAGCAGCCAAGTCTGCCAGACGGCTGCAAAGCAAAAAACTGCAGCCATCTACTCTTCTCTTGCTGCTGAGTAGATCATATGCATCCTTGGAACTCATCGAACTGGACCTTCTCGTCTCCTTGTTTGCATGTGTACGAGTATTGATTGCCTTCCGGCCAAGCTGGAGTTGACAGAGAAAAACTGTGCGGCCGTGGCTCTGTTACGATCCATGGTCCTCCAAACAATAGATCTCACAAAGCTCGGAGCATTTGCCTAAGGCAAGGCTTCTGTCGGTCAGTCCTGAAGATTTCACGAACTTCCTTCTCCGTGAGCTTCGTGGACAAGCAGCCGAGAAACCTCGATTCTTGGACCCATGCCATACTCTGCGCGACAGCTTGGAGGTGGTGCAGACAAGCCACACAGTCAGCTCCTCAAAAGACAAGCAACCATCCTGGCTTCCCGATTTCAGCAGCAATCAAAGATCAGCATGAGGGTGTGTTTTGGTGCAGCGTCGCAAGTTGACATGCCTGTAGAATGCACGCGTGTGCCTTGTTGACGTCGAGCTCGTGGAATTTGGCCTTTCCACCACAAATGCTGAGCTTGAGAAAACATGAGCAAACCGGGCATCAAGAGGTAAGAGCCAACTTTCAAAAAGACTTTTGTCGACACCTTGATCTGACTCTTGAGCTGGACGGCCTGCAGCAAAAGCTTTCTGAACATGCAAACTTGATTGCTCACCAGTACGTCCACACATCACGTGAATCAAGCAAGGAGCGAAGACCAAAGAGGCAAGTGCGGGCCTTCAATGAGGTCGACCTTTCTGGCTCAGAAGGTCTCCTGTCCCAATGCATTTCGACAGCTTTTCTGATCTGTGCACATGCACCCGAACCAAGATGACATATTCTTGAGAGAGAGCAGATATGCGTGGTGGAAAGCTCCCAGCTCGCAGGATTCTGACAGGCAAAGCAGTTGCCATCCGTGCTTTAAGCCCCTTTCGCAGATGCCTCTTGTCACTGCGTTGCTGTGGAGGCACAGCACGCACGCCCCCCTCAATCGGTGGCAGAATCATGGCTCGGAGTGCTGGCAGCCAATTTCTGGACTGCTCGCTGCTAGATCAACATGTCGCATGACATATCCACACTTGTGTCCGAACTGCGCCTCAGCTCGCAAGTTGTCGCAAGTTGCGAAGGCGCAAAACAAAATTGGTTTGTTGTGGCTGCGTGTACATTGTGCAAAAAAACCAAGATGTCCTGCATGTCCTAGATGTGGAATTCCGACACATGTAGCCTGCTTTCAGAAGCCTAAACAGCTGAGGGGGTCAGGGCACCATGCCCAGAGCAAGTGGGGGACTGCTCACCATAACTCCTTGGGCATGCCTCCGGTCTTGCCAACAAGGGGTGCCGTTGGGTGCCTTAGCAAAGTCAAAGGCCAAGAATGTCTGGGCAGCAGGAAAAGCAAAGATGTGCCAGGGGATTTTTTACTCCTTCACTGCCAGCCATGAACAGCTTGAGATCCAACAGGGCCCAGACCTACGTAGAGAAGGGAAGTCCACCAGAAACTCCTCATTTCCAGGCAGCAACCGTGCTGTGCGGAAAAGTGTTGCTTCACAACAGCCACTGCCTTCAGCCGCTTAGTGATCTTTGGGCGCAAGGTGCGTGCGCCAGTCTCCTGCTTGTCAGAGGCCTCGCATGGAAACAAGGCACGGACGAGACGTCGTATTTGCAAGATGGATAAGCTGCTGCGTCAGAGGCAGAAGCCGTTGCTTCTTGCTTCGTCATGTCAACAATCCGATGATACGTTTCGCGGTGTCAATGGGCAAAACCGGCCTCCCAAACCGGCACCACATTGTGTGCATCCACCTCAGGGGAAGCAACTGGTTCAGAGCTGTCATGCTACAAAGTCTAGTGCCCTGAGCCACGCCTGCAACAAGGGCACCTTCAGGTTCTGCAAGGCTTTTGCAACTCCTGTTGCGAGCGGGACAAAACTTGAAACATCTTGAAACACTGCCCCACGGGGCATGCAAACCAATTCCCCCTTGAGACTTGTAAAGCTGAAGGTCGGAGACATCTTCAAGTGTCTCTGCGAGGAACACTGTACCCGCATCGCCTGCGGTCCAGGACCGTGGAACTCGAAGAGGCGACATGTCGCAAACCACCGCATGCACTGGGCCTCAGCACCGACGAAAGTGGCAAGTACTGCCACGATTGTGTTGTGACAGGGATTCATGGCTGCTGCCCCTCTGGCTGAGCTCAGGTGCTCACCTTTCTTCCCCAGCTGCTGGAGCTTCCGTACAAACTTTGGCACTTCGGAAACGCTTTGGCCCTGGAGAACATCCGAAGCTCAGCATGCTCAGGGCTACATAACTCTACGGCCCAGCAGTGCTTGTTCGGTAGGCACACTCTCTTTTAGATACCTCCGAATTCACTTTGAAGCTCTACTTTGCTTTCAGTGAGTCCCTCTGGCCTTCAGAAGGACAAAGCCTCGCAGACCACAGAAAATTGACGGGACTGGAAGAGTGAAAGAAGAGCGCACACTAAGCTGAAAACCTGCGCGAGTGGCGGGATACTCCCGTGGCCAATTCAAAACTGCCGCTGTCAAATTGGAGCTCTTGTTAAATGTCTTGGCAGGCAGTGTGAACAAGAAATAATGCAAGTCACCAGAAGCACAGCGGCATGCCCCATGTGGATGCAAAGACTTACATGAAGAAAACGCATGTGCCGCAGGCAGCGGCCTATGTTCAAGCTCTGAAGATCCTTGCAGGTCTCGGCCTCCGGTCAATTGAGCAGTGAGGACAACTTTGTTTGGTGGCATGGGGATCACTCAACCTTCCAATCGGGGATCACTCAACCTTCCAATCTGAAAACTCTGAGACTCAAGCCAGGCCGCGAAGCATGAAGTCAAAGTGACGCAGGGTGGCATCCAGAAATTTTGGTACCAGACAGAAGCAGACATGAAGAGACCTCAGGACCGAGTCACGTCGTTCTTCAAGGACGTTCTGAGACAGCATCCCTTCCGCGAGAGTTGCTCCAGCACCAGTCATCGACTCTGCCGCTCTGTGGCAGCTGAGAGAGCGTGCAACAAAGAATTCACTCACAGCAGAATCTTCACAACACTGGGCTACCGCAAGTGAGCTGCCAAGGTTGCTGCGCCTTCTTCTCCAAGGCTAGCTCCTTTGCTGGCACCAAGCTTGGAAATCTGCTTCGGACCGCCAAAAAAAACTGAGATGGTCTTGCCCTTCATGAACATGGAGAGGCAAGTCAGAACTCTCATCTCTCTTTGCAAATGCTGGCCGTGTATGGGCAGCTAATCCCGAATCCCTTTCTTTCACATGGCTGTGGGCGCTGCTCAGCCAATCAAACAAGGTGCCTGAGCTTTGAGGAGCGCCCAGTTGTCATGAGCTCGCTGATCGCGTGACCTGCAGCCGGCTTGATCTCACTTGCAAATGCTAACATTATTCAGGCAAGAATCAACTCCTTCAAGCGCCTGCTCCCAAAAAGCACATGTTGCAAAGCGCTTAAACTGGGTCGTCCACATCCAGTACAGCACAGTGCCGCCAAGCGCATCCTGCAAGAGGAGCAGAGCTTGCATTCTGCTTGGGGTCGTTAAGTTTGCACAAGGCTTGTCATGATCCCACTGTGGCCAGCATCTTTTCTGCCAGATCTAGGAGCATATATGCTTTCACCAGCCTTCTGACCTGGACTCTATTGTCTGCTCTGCCTATCATCATTAAGTGAGAAATGAGCAAAGGTGCTCATGCTACTGTAGCGGGTGCAGCAGGCTTTGCCTTGAAATCCACTTTGTTGGCAGGTCGGACCCGGCGCGGGTCCACACGCGGCGCCATGGTCAGTCAGCGTTTGTCTTGGGACGCTCCGGAAAAACAGCGGTGGAGTGGAAAACAGCTTTAAGAAGTTGATCACCTCTGATGTGGTTGCAAGCAACCCTCTTGGCTTTCCAGCTGCTGATAACTTCACATCCCTTTCAATAACAAGCCTGCTTTGTAAGACAGATGCTGCATGAGGAACCAGGGCTTTGTGGGCCGATTCAGGCATTCCATTCCGGATCCTCTAGCAGAAGCTGTACCCCGACCTACTTCTCAGTCTCAGGGCGGGTGGACGCACCATAAAATGGGAGACCTCTACTCTCAAAAAGTCTTGAACCAGCTCCAAAACAAACGATGAACGAGTGTGACTGTCAAGATCGTTCCTATCGTTCCTATCTAGAAGATCGATGCAGTGGCCTTGCACATCCAATCCAACCAACACGATTCATGATCAGACCATCGCCTCCAGGAACTGTGAGGCCAAGGCCAACATTTATCCAATTGGGAACACACCAATTCCTGGAAGGTCCCTACTTGTACCAAAGATCTGCTTCAAAGCCTAAAAACATGATCCATCAAGTGCCTTTTGTCTTGCAGCATCTGCTACTCTCCAAGACGTATCATCTCAAACCCAAGACATGAAGTCAATATCCTCGAAGAACGTCCTTCTGGAGCAGCACATTGAACAAAACATATGAAATCCGATTCTAATTTTCATGGACAGTGAGAGCAGGCAACAGCAGCTTTACCTTTTGTTGCCTTGCGGATTAGGCAACCAAGCTACTCACATCTGCATGAAGGGATCAACACTAAGAGGGCAGTGAGGCATGCAGGAGATATCCCAGCATTTCACCGGCAACGAAAGCTGCAACTCTGTATTCAATGATTCTTGGCATTTCAGATGTAGGGGATGACCAAGAGCAATCGTAGGAGTCTGCGCGAGATCTGTACTTTATACCCCCAAAAGACGCATCAAAAAGTTAGTAGTATCTTATCGTATCTTATTGTAAGGACCTTGAAAATAGGGACCCCTGAGCTAAGCTACAGAACCATGGTCAGGCTTCTCCTAACCAACCTCTGACAAAGCCGCGGGCACGCTCTCACTCACGTTTAAATGGGGATTCCCCAAATTGGGGGTCTATATAAAGTTCCCCCTGTTAGCGGAAACTACCACATCTCTGCCCGGAGAAAAACAGATCTCAGCCAGCACAGGACATCTCCCAGAGCCTTGACACGCCTTTCAGCTTTAGGCCGGCATGCTGGAAAGCGCACGGAGACAGCGCTGCTCTCTAGCATAAGTTTGCAGGTCCTACTCCCGATCCAAAAACACAGTTCCGGCGAGCCTGCAAGCATGCCTGCCCTTTTCACTTGTACATGTCTGCCTTTAAAAGGCATCCCTGGCTTGAGCAGAAAACGTTAAATGTTCAGGGATAACAACGGCCCGATAGGACATTGCCCGACATCATCGCTGCTAGCCTAGACAGGTGTCCCGCATGGCCGCTGTCATACCTCTAATTGGTGCGCGTTGAGCCACGCCATTGCACAGTCCAGGCTCCAAATCTAGAACTTCGAGGCTAGCTGCAGCTAGCTATGCTCCAACCATGGAGCAGGACATGCAAAGCTTTGGAACATCACCGCATTTCAAACGGCATTAGAGCGTCAGGGGCAGGGGTGCCAGCCATTTAGCTGGCACGATGGTTCTGGGAAAAGATTATCATCTTGCGGAAGAATCAAAGCAATCTTAGTTAATGAGGCTCCTCCCCCTGCATAAGAGAGAATCTTCACAAGTTGGGCAGCTTGCCCGCCAGTGTCTTTGTCGCTAGTACACTCAGAATCACACTATGGCCTGTTGAGGCCCAAGTGTTGCCTGTCATCAACAGCATCTTCAGACCAAATATGCAGCACATGGGGTTTTCCCCAAATTAAGGGTACCTTTTTGGGGGTCCTTATAATAAGGACTATAGTATTTTGGGGTCTATATTAGGGTCCCCTTATTTTGGGAAACTACCACATCAGGAACTTCTGCAGAACTTGGCTTCTCTGCGCGGTAGCTCACGGCTCGTTCTACGGATCAGGCTCGACGAGCAATTCCCCTTAGATGGCCAAAGGCCTTGCAACAAGATCAATTATTACCTGGCCGTCCTAGACCTGAAAGTCAGGGCCTAGCATTCGTTTCGCAATATTCCACAGACATGTCACCACTCCCCTGCAAACAGAAAGTCCAACCTTGCAAAATGAGATTGGCATGCAATGGTCAGCTATGGCCATTTGGCTGACGAGGGTCTTAGAGTGTCAACTTCAGCCGGGGTAAAGCCAATGTAGTCGAAGTAGTTCTTGACCCCACCAAACTCCTCACCATCCGAGCAGCTTTGTCTGATCTTGTGATGTCATGCAGTATGCCATGTCTTGGACTGCAGGAGGTCTGTTCGGCTCTTCCCGGCTCGAAAGGCAGGCAAAGGGAAGTTCAAAGGGCAAGTTGGCCTCAAGTTGTGAGGCACAAGGCTTTCCTGCCACAGGGGTCTTGAAATTGAAAGCCAGTGCCAGTGCCTTGAACCATCGAAGCTTCGGGAGTTTCTTCACATGGGGTCTGGAAGCCCTCTTCCATCACTTGCCTCTGTTGACATTCCGCTCGAAGCTTGACACCCCGGCTCAAGGTTTTGCCTTTGCTTTGCCGTAACAGCTTAAGATCTTCAGGACATTAAGGTTGGCCACTTCTCCCGACTCGTGGTCTTGCCGGCGCTGTTGAAAATGACAACTAACTCCACCTCACCCTGCACAGATTTCAGGGATGGTCCTGCTGCAGAACGTCATGCATCACGTATTCAATGATGTCCCTGTGCACCTTTGCAACCGCAGCCGCGCAAAACATGGAAAATATTGGCGTGGCGTGCATCGCCGCAACAGCAAGACTTGAAGACAGGGCTGGCTTGCGTAGCAGTTTAGTGGTGATGAGGCACATGACCTGCGTGGAACCACCTGTCTCACCGTGCCATGTCCTGAAGGTACTGATGACTGGCTGAAAGCCTTGATAAGCACGACACCATGGATCTTTTGATGGCGTCAGGATCAGAGACAATGTTCACGTCCTGCAAACATGCTGACCACTTCCGCACACTTGTGGGGATGATGTGCAATTCAAGATACATACGCCTTGAAGACTAGGTTTGGTAGGATCTTGATTTTTGATCCCGCAAAGTGGACACCACACGCATACCAACAATGCAACCATACTTCAGGTCAATCTCCAACACGGATCAAGCTCAGGATAATGGGAATGTCCTCCCAGAGCGGAGTGTCGCCGTCACCTGCAGGCTGGTTCGGGATTAAGGAAGACGAAATGGAAACTACTACATTATAATATGGACAATAGGAAAGCAAATGGAGGCTACTATTTAGGGTCCATAAAGGGATTATGTAGGAATTTTGGAAACGTATTGGAATAATTGAAAATAAAATGGAAACGACTACTTTACCATGGGGTATCTATTAGGGTTGTAGTAGGGAATCTTTCGTGCTTACAGTCTTGCCAGTCTTGCCATGTTGGGCCAAGATATAAAGCAGTCGGCATCAACAATGCTGAATCACCAGCGAAGTCTTGTTTATGAATAGATGCATGGCAATCTTCCTGTCGGACACGGCAAAGCTTCGTGCGTTCCATGCCACCGCGAAAAGAGTTCAAGGTCGTAAACTTTGGATTTGTACAAATTTCTGCAGTTGTAAGACTCCGGCTGTCCAAGATGTTTTGGACGCTTGCAGGGAGCCGCGTCCTTCTCAGCAAGGCCAAACAGCATGAAGCTTAATCATCATCATCCCGCTGAAGAGACAGCTGGTTCACCAAGCAACCTTGGATTGCTAGAAGTCTGCATCAACCACAAACTCCTGTGCTCATGGTACCACGGCCTTTCCTCCCGCACAGTCTCCCAGCCACTGAGCCGTACATGAAAGCGAGAGAGGGAGAGAGAGAGAAAGAGAGATAGGCAGTTGGGGCCCACCTGCGCACCAGCAAGCTGTACTTGCGCGGGTCACGAATCCTCAGCTCCTGGCTCGCTGTTTTCCAAGGAGGGGCAAAACCACTGTTCAGACACAGACTGCCAGGAGATACAAGTACTCTAGTTGCATAGACAAGCTCGACTTGACCTGCATTCTCGACTCTCCTCGCACCACATGGCGACTGCGATCTGATTGCAGGCGTTGATGTGCTGCGCGGACTGCGGTCCAGATCCACGTGCTTTTTGAGGTTCGAGCGCTCGTAGGCTGCATGTCTGTATGCTGAAGACTTCACGGGCACGAAACATCAAACACAACTTTCAGTTCATGACAGGCTATGCAGATCACCTTGCTGGGAAATCTCATGCTAGCTCGGCCTGGCACTGCCAAGAGCAGAACACGACCAGCTCACATTCAAACAGTCTAGCCCCAGAAATGCGTCGAAGAAGTGATCTTAAACTCCATGGCTGCCTTACCCGGGCTGATGCATGTCATGATGCCCGCAGGCTGCGGTGAACCAAGGCTTGTGAGCCTCGTTGGTGAACATGTAGTCAGAGATGATGTCCTGCCATCTTTAGGGTGTAGGTTTTTGGGTTTAGGGTTTTGTAAGCTCACACCTGAGAATCAAAACATGCAGGCCAGACACTTGAAAATCTGTGGCCCGACTTGGCAAACCCGAACTTCGGCTTACAGGTGGTTACTAGGGAATAAAGGAATATATGCAGGGGGATCATATTGGGACTCTACCCTAGGCCCTGAACAGGGCCAAAACCCTAAACCGTAGACCCTAAATGGTAGTTCCCATTTTCTTGTCCATTATCCCAATACAACCCCAAAATACTATAGTAGTGAGGGTGATGTTCCCCTGTTCCATAGGAACCCCCTACACCCCTAAACCCCTGAACCCCTAAACCCTATGCAATGTATAATCCCTATATGAGATAGAGTCTAAACTCCGAGTATCACCCTGAGTAACCCTAAACCCTAAAACCTCAACCCCAAATCCTAAACCCTAAACCCTAAACCCTTATTCCATAGTAACCTCCAGTAAGACGACTGGCAAGGCGCCTCCTCTCCAACTCCCAGGGCACTGAGCACCAAGCAGGCCAGGAGGCCTCCATAGACTGTCAGACTCCTAATGGTAAGATGGGGGGATTCCACATTTTTATAGGGTTTAGGGATTATAAATGATTATACAAAGTTTATATAGGGACTTGTTAGGGTCTAGGGGAGGGATTCTACAGTATACAGGGCTTTTTATAGGGTTCAGGGGGTATGTAGGGATTATATGAGGTTTATGTAGGGACTATATAGGGTTTGGGATGGTAACATAGGTAGGGACTATACATGATTATACATTATGCTGGGTTTTTTAATAAATAGGTGTTATATAGGACTTACATTGAGATTATATAGGGTTTATTAGGGTTAGGGGTTTGCGGTTTTAGGGTTTCGGGGTTTACGGATTCCTTCCGCGTTCTTCATGATAATGAGGGGGTTAATAAAGGATATACAGGGGCTATATAGGGGTTATAGAGGAAAAATAGAAAATGGAGTAGTGACAATGGAAAAGACAAATGAAACTGCTACGTTATACTAGGGTAGAAATTGAGGCTAGTATAATAGTGCTATATAAGGATGATGGAAAAGAGAATGGAAACTACTATTTGAGCCATTGTCTAAACT